TAAGTGCAACACCCCCCCCCCCCCCCCAAAAAAAAACAAAGAAATAAATAAAAGAAAAGAGTACAAAGCAGTAAGAATCTGTCATTACATTTTTTCCAAAATCCAGCAGTGTCTCATTATGTGTATACACCCTCAAAACGAAAAGGGAATGTTTTGTGGGGATATCCTTCAGACATGACAAAATCAGTAAAACTTATATCCTAACTCACCGGAAACCGAAATTTTCTTTAAAAAATCTAATTTTGTTTAATAAAATCCAAAACTGAACCGTACCGGAACTGAACCAAATCAAATAAAAGACGGAATTAATTTGGTACAAATTTTAGAATACCAAATAAACCGTTTTCGAACCGAATGTCTAAAATTCTGAATTTCGGGCAAACTGATGAACTGCTTCCGGAAAAAAAAAAAGTAAAAAACGAATCGCAACAGGAGTGCGGTTGCGGCCGGATGAATTTCTCTGGTCCTTTGAGCCATATTAGAATTTGGGCCTAAAGTAGGCCCAAAATTGTTTAAACCCTAGGGTTTTAGCAGATGTTTCACCTGCTCCTGAGCAATTTTTTTTCCCTCGACCTATTTTGTTGTTTGATTGTTAGCCTTCCTTCTTCAGAGGGTAAGGGAGTTTCATTCGAATTCCGAGGGATTCATCAGCGTAGCAATGGGGAAGAGAGGAGGGGTTCAGAAGAAAGGTGACAGGAGCAGGAAAAAACGGGAAGAATACGTCGAAGATCAATACGATGACGAGATTGATGCCTGTAATTGCCTACACATATTTCTCTTTAACTTCGATTATTGAAAGTTCTGCATCTTTCAATCACCGGGTTTGATGGGTATTATAATGTATTCCGATCCTTCTTGGAGTAACTCATTTGTTTTATTCTGAAGTGTGGTTTGGAGATTGGGTAAGCTTAGGACCTTGTATGTAATGGCATATTCTTGATATTTTATTCAGCTTCCTATAACAGATCCTAGGCATTCAAATTGTGGGGTTTTGAGCAAATTTTGATTCCTTTTACTGTCTGGATGTGTCTGCAGTTCATAAGCAGAGGGATTTTGTTCCTTTGGACGTTGACAAGGATACTGATGAAACGGATGAAGATGATGAACTGCCAGTTTTTGATATAAAGGTTTACTTTTGTCCTTATTCCCAAACAGTTAGGCTTGCGACTTCTGCAATTTGATGAACTTATACATATATCTCAGTGTCAATAGTTTTATCATAGTAAAAGCATGGTTTCTTCTTGTTAAGTGTTCTTCCCTGTGTTTTTGTTTCCCCTCATAATTGCAAGTCAATTCAGCTTGACAAATATGCTTTTTCTAATTTCGCTTAGTCTGGTTTATAGGATGAAGACGAGGATGGCGAGGAGGACGACGATGATACGGATGATGAGGATGCTGAAAGTGGCGGACTTGCTGCGAAGAGTAAGGATGTTTTATTCAATTTGTTATCCTGTTCTAGGGAGTTTTTATTTTATTTTTTTTTACGTTATTCCGGGGATATTAAGAAATTCAAACCTTGTGATGTTATTACATGTTGCTGTGGGTTGCATTATGTACATAGGTCATGCCTAAGCAAACTCCTTTTGAAATTGATTGGTTTCATTCTATTATTGTGGAGCAGCTGGATGGAGCCTCATCCATATTCTTTTTTGTTGCTTTATTTTTGCAGTTATAAGGCAAAAGAAATATTTGAGGGCAAAGTTTGGTGATGTTGATGATGAAATGGCTGATGATGACAAGGATAAAGATGACGAAGATAAAAGGATTACATGGGGTGGAAAAAAGGGCCAATACCATGGTGGTGATAATGCCGACTTTGAGGTGTGGAGTGTCATGGTTCTTACTCTTTAAACTACACACGTTCTCCGTTTGCCCAAATTCAATCCATTTCTCTGGAAAATTGGTTTATATATATATATATTTCTGAACTTGGCATAATTTACTGCTGGCTTGATGTAAAATTTTAAGATCCAATCAAGCGATGATGAGGCCCTTGTATTGGAGGAGGCCGAGGGGATAAGGTTGCAGAAGGAAGCTCTAGCTTCCTATACAGCAGCAGATATGGGCTTGGAAGATGATGATAGTGAACAAGAGAGCGACAGAGAACTAACCTTGGAGGTTGGTGTTGCCATCAAGTTGTTGGACTAGCTGATCCTTTTACTTGTATAAATAATTTATGGTTCTATTATTTTCTTGGTAGGAAATGAATCTGAAAGGCAAACATGCATCAGAATCCATCAGAGATATGGACCCAAAGGTTGATGCATATACGTCTTTTGAAGAGGTCAAGAAAGACATTAACGCTTTGACAAAGGAGGAGCAAATGGACGTAGTATATAGGTAAAAAGCCGGCACCTTTTGCTCCAAGTTACAATTTATTTGATATATCAAATTTATTTTGGATCTCGTTAGTGTTACACGCAGGCTTGTTTACTTTAAGTGATTATTTCTTTTATGCAGCTCTGCTCCAGAATTAGTTGGTCTTTTGTCTGAGTTGAATGATGCAGTTGAGCAACTTGAGGATAAGATAGATCCTGTTATGAGAAAGGTAAGCTTCTTTGAATCCCACGTAACTGTTATTATCAAATTCAAATTTGAGTTACCCACACTGCAACTGACAGACTTGCCTCTGGCTTCCTTCTCCTCCAAAATCTAATTTTTATTGCTTTTATTTTTTCATTTTAAGTGCTGAATTTCAAAGCTTCACATTTCTTAATCAATGTCATATGTTAAACAATTTCTCTCTCCACACAGTTAAAAGAAGGTGAAATCACATTGAATGGTGGAATCAAATACTTAGAAGTGAAGCAGCTTCTGCTGCTGGCCTATTGCCAAGCTATAACATTTTATCTTCTTCTCAAATCTGAGGGGCAGCCTGTCCGTGACCATCCGGTCATTGCCCGTCTTGTAGAGATCAAAGCCTTATTGGATAAGGTAGTACCCTTAAGTTTTTTTCTTTTCTATCGACTCCAATTAACCTTTGTTACTGCTACTATGTAGTTGCATTGGAGAAACGTTCGTTATACTAATGGCCAAATGGATGTATGCTATTGTCTGTTAATAGATCAAAGAACTTGATGGAAACCTGCCCCCAGATTTTGAGGAGATTTTGAAGAAAGACATTGCTACTGGAACAGTGGGGAAGGTCATGAAAGAAACTGCCCCTGTGGCATCAGGTTGTCCCGAGGCTGGTCACGTTTTATCATCTGCTTCTGCTGTAGTGGTCAGAGATACTCAAGATGCAGCTAAGGTAGAAGTTGAGCCATTGCTTGACGTCTTTTAGGTTAATCTTTATCTTGCCCTTTGAATCTTAATATTCATTCTTTGTCGTGCCCCCTTTAATTCTCATATACTCAGCTAGAAAAAGTTGATGCTTTGACGGAGATCAAAAAGAAAAAAAGAGAGAAACGCAAGCTTCAGGTAAATATAAATCTAATATATTCCATTCTCAGATATTTCTTTTGCTGCGTTATCATCGCTGCATGGTTGGAAATGATATACTGTGCTTGCTTTATGGCAGACTGCTCAAGTTGATTTTCAAAGCGAGGAAATGTTAAGACTTCGAGCAGCTCTCGAGCAGAAGCTGAAAAACAAAGGAGCCTTGGGTTCCGCCATTTCCAAGCCTGATAAAGCTCAGAAGCGTTTGAAATTGGCGAATGGGTATTTCTTCTATATTTCCTACAATATATCTCCAATAACTATGATCCTTTTGCTTTGTAAGGCTGTGAGGTGTTAAGCTTCAACCTTTGGATGTAACAGGAAGCTGGAAACGTTTGATGATTATGTAGATGATGATACAGACAATAACAAGGATGACTCACGTGGATTAACATCTAATATTGTCTCACAGCTTGTCTCTGCTAAACGGAAGTCCAAGGTAAACAAGCCAGTGCATTATGTGGCTTCATCCCTTTGTATTAGGAAGTTTTTCGGTTTATGAATCTATATTCATCCAAATCCAATAAATGACTGTATCGGGTAATAGAATGTGTCTCAGGCTCTCAGCACCCGACTATTAGAATGTGACTACATTTGATGTATTGGCATGTACGGTATATATTAGCGTATATTTATGAATGCAGTCTTCATGTGGCATGGTATATATATATATATTACTATAAATTGAGTGATGACATCTTTTTATAAACTTGTGATCTTTTTCATATTTAAGAAATTTGTTGCTTTATTCTTCTGTTAGAAGTGATATTTTCATGAAAGCAGTGTGCGCTCTCTTATCAGATCGTGGGCATCTTTTTTTTTATATATATATTGTTGGAAGGTTGTATCTGGTGATGATGATTTACCAAAGAGGGATGATATTGGAGAACGGCGTAGGAAGTTTGAGATGAGAGTGTTGGCTGGAGCTGGTGTAAAGTCCGAGGATGGTGATGGAGATGGATATGAACCTATGGCTGATATATCAGAAGATGATGATGCTAATGATGATGACATGGTTGACAATGATGATGATGATGGGTCGGAGAGCTCGGGAGATGATCTGTACGAACAAGCCAAGCGACGAAGAGATGCAAAACTAGCTGCAAAAGCAGAGATGTATGCAAGGTACAACTTTAAGCTTCCTCACTGACTCATGTGCCATTGTTACTGAAAAAGCAGATAATGTTTCCTTAACATTATTTTGTTTTGGAGTTTCATCTCTGAAAAGAACTCAGTACTAATTAATCATCGTTGCGAATTCTGTGATTGTGATTCAGGCCAACATCAACAAACCCGTCGTCGTTGCCTGAAACCGCGGATGGAAAGAGACTGATTTCATACCAGGTGAGTGAATTGAATATATGTGTCTCCTGTCTAACATCGTGTCCATCCAAACTCATACAATTGTTCTTCACCATTCCCTCCTTTTCCAGATTGAGAAGAACAAAGGGCTGACACGAAAACGCAACAAGGATCTAAAAAACCCGAGAAAGAAGTACAGGGTAATCCCCGTTTTCCCATCTGTTTCTCCCTTCTCCTGCAAGGCTGCGGCTTTACTGAAAAAGACGGGATCTTTTGTTTGAAAAATGCAGAAAAAGCACGAGCAGAAGGTGAAGAGACGGAAAGGACAAGTCCGAGAGATGAGGAAGCCGTCGGAGCCATATGGAGGGGAGGCCACTGGTATCAACGCCCGCGTCAGCCGCAGCGTCAGATTCTAAGAGCTCTGTTACGGGTTCTTCTCTTTTGTCATCTCCATATGGTCTTTCTGTCATGTCTTTGATGATCTTATCCTTTAATCACTAAAAGTTTTGTTGTTTTCGCTTTATAGAAATGGAAAGACTTTTTTTTTTATTAATAGAACCATCCGTTTTATTTGTTTATATATCGAAATTATATTAGAAATACATGATTTGGGAGATTTCATATTTTGAATTTTTATGAAATTGTAATGTTGGTTGGTTTCATGGCCGTATTGTTTGTAAATCTGTACAAATTTCCATCGAGTTCTTGAATATTTATGATGTAATTAATTAATTTGTAGATGCTTAGGATACATTTAATCACATAATTTGTTTTTATATATATATTTTTTATTTTTGTATGTCAAATGAACGAGTCTATATATGTGTGTGTGAATTATGTAAAAATAAATGGGGAGGTATCGTTTGTTTTAAACACGTCTCCTGGTTGGCCAATTCTCAGTTTTATTTTTAAAGTTGTATCATATTTTCAAATGGGTACTTATTGGGCCTTAAGAGACTCGAAACCCAAAGCCCAAAAGATCCAAAGTCTCAAACCACAAGGGCATTTGGGCGGAGAGAGAGCCAGAGTTCGGGAAGGAGAAAAGGTAGGGGATTATGCTTCCATGGATTCTCTATTTTGTATTTATTTTTTTAGGGTTTATGTAATCGGGATTCAGAGATGGAACGCCGCAAAAACCCTGATTCTGTTCCTCCCAATTAAGATTCTAAACGCACACCAAAAGATTTAGCTCTTCGATCGAATTTCGTAATCAGTTTCTGTGTTTTTTGTGGTTTGAGATTCAGATGGCGCTTAGAGGAACATGGCAGCTTCAGAAGCTGATTGTGAGCTACTGTAACTGGGGAGGTAGCAGCCGAGGGATAAGGTACCACCGCATAATCATCCGATGATTTTGTTTTTTAAAATTCCGTAATCGTGAATATGGATAGCTTCAGTGATGACTGGAAATTGTCGAACTTCAAGTTATTTCTAGCGATTCTCATGTTGAAGTATCATGTTTCTGAATGGTTTTCTCTCTCGGTGTTCAAATGGTTTATGCCCGATTCTAACGTCTCCCCCTTTGATGGTGTTCCTCGTGAGATTACCACTGGTCTTTGTTCTTGTTTTTTTTCGAGTCTTTTCTCATTTCAATGTCTTGGCGTGTTCTCGTTTAAACTCTGCCCTGTTGATATTCATTCCTTTCTGGAAATCCGCGTTAACTGTTTTTGTTTTTTTGCAGGGCCTTTATGGAAGCTCATCTTCCCCAGTTTAAGGAGAAAAACCCTCATCTGGAGGTGGTGACCGATCTTGCCCGTGGACAGCATCCTTTCTTGAAGGGCTTATACAGTATATCCTCTCTCCTTGTCTTAACCACAGTTAACAGTTGAAGCCATGCCCTTTTCTGACTTGCACGATTGTGCATTTTGGCAGGAAACAAGAATGAAAGGGTGGTCTGTGTGAAGAACATGGAACCGGAAGACGTCCTCTTAGAAGCAATGAGGCTCAGGAACTCGTTGGGGAGGAAAGTGGTGAAACTGAGGACGAGGCATGTGACGAAACACCCGAGCGTGCAAGGCACTTGGTCTACCGAAATGAAAATCTGAGGGCTCTCGTCAGGTGTGCAAGTACTCAAAGCTTCTTCTTTTCTTGGTCGTTGAATGGATTTCAAGAACTCGGATACGCTGCCATTTCTGTGTTCCTATCGAGATTGTTAGCAATGTAACTTGGATCAGAATCCAGGTTTGGATTCCTCCTGTTTTGCAGTTTATTCAATAGTTGAAACTCCCTCATCTCTCTGCTGCCCAGATGATAATAAACTAGAAGCATTACAAATCCCGTGACTCTGTTTCCATTTTAGCAATTCCAGAAGACAGAACTCGCCGACTGTTACTTGTACTTTTATATCAGATTACTCCATTGATATGGGTGCAACATACAGTAATATCTTGATATTCTTTGGATGTATTCGCCATTTTAGAATATGTACTCTTTCAGAGTTATGACATAAGATACGAGGAGGCCGCTTCCAACGTCACTTTCTCCTGTTTCTCGTACTGGGAAACACAAACACTGAAGACCCTTTCGGCAGAAAACAGAGTCTATGGAATCAAAGTTCATCAATGGAAGCATGATCAAGGGTCGTCTTCTTCTTCTTTTTTATTTTTCTTAAAATAATTAAGTTCATGTAAATTAGAATAATATCCGGAATTCTGGTAATGGTAAGATACATGTTTATCCAAAAGAGTATGTTTAAGATATTGGCAGGTTAAGAAGATTAGAATCAGACAATCTTCACAGTACATTATCATAGATGGGAATTTACTCGCGAGATGACGAGGGCGCTTTCGATAACTGGATTCTATGTGGACCAATAATCACATGCCACGTGGATAGGGAAGTACCAAGATTTTAGGTTTTTGATATATATATTTATTAGTAACGTTGTTGTGAGCGTACTGTCCCCTCGCAGTCTCCTTCTCCCTCTGTTCTTCTCCCTCTCGCCGCACACTCTCTCTCATATCTTGGTAAGCTCATCGCATTTCTCTCCCTCTCTACGTATTTTTCTACTGTTTCTTCACGTATTCGTACGTATATTTCTGGGTATACTCGCATTTTCCTTCTTGCTCCGTGATGATATGCTTGTTTTTTTGTTGTTGTTAGCATGTGAGCTTCGTTCTTGGTTCAGCTAGCTGTGGTTGTTTGTTTTCGTTTTTTTAAGCTTTTGTGTTGATTACTTCCAGCTTGTTCTTTGTTCTCTTCAGCATAATTGTTCCGAATCTTCGTGGGTTTCATTTGGAATGGCGAAATGTTTCAGCTTTTCGTCTTCCTGTTCCTGAGCTGTCCTTTTAGTTTTTTTCCTATTGCCAGTGACATTCGTCTTTGTGATATCGTCGAAACTGTGAAACGGTAAGGAGTGTTTTGGAGAATTGAGGTTGAGGAGTTCGTAAGAAGCTGTGTTCTTATGCGTTGATTTGCTTTCGACCAACCTGGAACTGTTGAATTCGCCATGGATGATGTGATGTTGATTTTCTTCTTTTGAAATGGGTTTTGGAGGAAATTATGCGTGAAATCATCATCGTCAAGTGTCACCATGTTCTTGCAAGTGTTTTTCACTCTCTGTGGCCTCAATGTGGTGGCTAATATCAGCTACGTCCAAGCGAGGAAAAAAGAAAACTCTTTGATCTGCTGTTTGGTTTTGGAGAAGATATGTCCCTCTTTTCTTTTCCTTTGTTTAATTGTGATATGCCTCTTTAGTCCTCTAGATTCTCTACCTGGAAATATTGAATCTTGACTATGAACAGTTGCCTAAATCTATTCTGTAGATGTGAATGCTCAGCTAATGGCGTTTCAGATTCATGGGTTAAGAGGAAAACCGTCTCCTGGATTATGAGATTCTCGGTTCTTTTGAGAGGGGCAATGATATGTCGGTTTTCACAATGTCATGCCTCTGTGAAACTGCATGCATTTAGATATGTTGTAACCTGCGTTTTTACCCGTGTAGGGGGAAGTTTGTCTTGATTTTCCTCTTCGTCTATGCAGATACACGATATCTTGATTAAATCTGTTCTCGATGTGATGTTTTTGCACGCATACGATCGGTGCTTACGTCTTAAAAATTTCCCGTTTCTTCATGGCACAAGATTCTGTGGCATGGAGCCAACTATTTATGTCGAACCATGAGAAGATTTAACGTTTGCAGTTCCCATGTCTTCAGGCCAACTGTGAGAAGGATCTGTCCCTGTGGACGAGTTGAAGGGCCAACATGATCGTGGCTGAACCACGTATGGATTTCAATCCGAATAGTAAGCAATCTTGCTCAGCAAGATTATCACCCAAAAAAGAGAAAAATCCCATTGTAAAACACGAAGAGTATAGTTTGACGTGTGAGACAGCTCGTGCAAGTGCAGAAACTCTGAGTTTAACGTCTGATCAGAATCTGGAGGTTGATATAGCAGAAAGTGACGATGAGATTGACCCGAAATTGAACAAGGCTGAGGACCCAGATGCTACTGAATATTCAAGCTCGTTTGCCGATACCACATCTGACGCTGACATGTGCAATGGAATCACTGAAGCTGAGGTCGAGTCTCATTTTTTCGATGACCTCGGACCTGCTTATGATTCATTTGGCAGCATTTTTCATTTTAGGTATGTTTCTGTACGATCTCTTTCCTTCCGTGGCCTTCATATATGTAACTTCCATATGCTGATTTTGGTGTGAGATCCATCTATTGATTAAAAGAGCAAAGCTGGCATGTTTTATTCTCCTTCTGTGTCCTAATTCTGCAATCTTCCTTTGCATGTCCATTTTTTAGGAAAAAGAAGCTGACAAGTCACTGGAGGAGCTTCATCCGGCCGCTGATGTGGCGTTGCAAATGGACTGAATTAAGAATCAACGAAATCGAATCCCGGGCATTAGAATATTCAAGACAGCTAGAAGGATATGATCAAACAAAGCCTGGGACAGTTGATCCGTCCATGTCAGAAACGTGTGGGATAAAGTCCATCCCTTTTTCGAATCCATGCTACAGAAAAAGTGCGGCAAAGAGGAGGAAGCGTAAGAGGGTCGAGGACACAAATGATATAGCATCATATCTAGCCCATCACAACCTGTTTTCTTATATCGGTAAGTCATTATCATCTATGGTTACTCCTAACCATCAGTACAGAGAGCTTGCCTGAAACAGTGTTCTGGTTTGTTTCAGAAAAGAAGAGATTGAGTTCAGATGGAATTGCTTTGGCTGATGACTTTGGTGGTAAGCAGTTCATTAGTTCTGCTTTGGTTAATTGTTAAAGCAGCCTTCTGAAACGGTTAAGATTGTCGGTTATGTGTTGTTTTAAAGAAATTTCTCAACAGTTGCCCTCGAAAGATTTCTAGTTTATGAGGTACAACTAGCCGATGATATGACCGTAGACATCAAGAAGAATATAATTATACTCGACTAATGAATGAACTTTCCTATAAGTTTCCTGCAATGTCTTGTATTTCAGACTCTGAAAAATCGTCGTTTTTCTTTAATGGGCAAGCAGCGAAGGACCAGCATGTTGACCTGAAGAACCGAATGGATTTCTCTGACGAGCAGTCACTTCTTGATTACCGAGATGGGGACGGTATCCTTGAGCAGGTTCTCTGGAAAATTGAGTTGGCACATTCTCAGGTTAACAAACTGAAAAGTCAGCTCGATGTTTTGATGTCCAAGAACGCTGCCAGGTTTTCCTCATCGGAGAATCTGAGCCTTCTTGCAGCGAGTTCGGCCCCTAGTCCTACGATCTCAGCCGGAACTGGTGATGTAATGTCGGTTGGAGCTATATACAATTCTGAGCATATACCAGAATACGTTCTCGAAGACCTGGTTTTCTCTGAAAGCGCCATTTCAAGCTACAGAGAGGTGTTTCATGTTCCTGACATAATCGAGAGTACTGTTGGGCTGTTGTCTGCTGCAGATGTCACATTCCATGAGTCCCAGATCGGAGATTCATGTGAAAATGTAAGTCCTTTGCGTGATTTACTCGCTCGTACGATTGCATATATATCGTCCCTGATAAGTCCCCGATTCAGTCAGCCCGAATTATGACACTTTTATATAGTAACTAACCATTATGCAGATGCCATCCCTGTGTTATGTTTCATGTAAACAGTTCCCTACTGAAGCCTTCCATTGTTTGATATGAATATACGTTCAGATTCTGGATAACATCTTAATACACAACGGAGTGGCTGAAGAAATGGAGCCGACTTTCATGGAGACAAGTCCTCAACCGCCATTGGAGCAAGTCAATGGAACCGTGAAACGGGAGGAAGTAGTAGAGACCAGCATGCCTTTGCAAATTCTTCAGCAGACAGCACCTCATGAAAAATCGGTTCTTAGATCATGTTTAGCCAACGAAATACTAGTCCCCAGAAACAAAAGGACACGAGGGGAACGCAAGGCCAGTTCTTGGTGCAAGCAACATCCTAATGACCCAGAAAGCCAGTGACTGATACCTATACAACCATGGATGGATGTTTCAGAAGAATAAGTTGCAGGACATGGGATTCGAGCAAATAACTTCCGGCTCATAACCACAGGACCATGACCCATCTCCGAACTGTAGGAGGAACTAAACTGAAACTCAAAGCCAGACAGAGTTTCTGTAACTTAACACCAAAAGGCTCCGGCTTTTCTGTTTCCCGAGCAAACCCTTCTTAATAGGATCATGTAACTTTCTCTCTCTCGTTCCATAAATTCACAACTGTTGAAGAAAAGTTTGATAATGCACATAATCTGGATAGGCGCAGTCCCCAGTCTTTTGTCCGATCTGAGATATCACCGTACAGCGATCTTTGATGTCTGAAGGAAGATTGTGATTGAAAGAAACAGGAGGTGCCGTGGACGTTCCTCTCTTGTTGGGTTGAGATTGAAGTTCACTTCCATGGTCTTTGTCATTGTCAGAAAACAGGCGGGAAAAAAAAGGAAGCAAAATACAGAAATTCTTCTCATCTTTTTGACCCAATCAAGCTTGGAGAAAAAGTCACAGAGGGAGTCCCCATTATCACTTTGGACCTCACATATATATATCTTTATTTGTTGGTATTTTTTTTTTTTGTAGCAGTAGTTAATAAGAAGCATTATATTCTTTATCCTATGGTAAATTAAAAAAAAAATTGAATCGAAAATACATGCCCTTGTATCCTAAATGAATCGATCTAAAAACAGGGTATAATAACTGTTCTAAATCTAAATTGATCGAATCTAAAAATGATCGAAAATAGTTTATAAAATAAAATAAAAAAATGAAGAATTTTCTCCCCTAATAGCAGTAGATTTTTTGAATTTTTTTTTATATATATTTTGAAATTGTTAGGGGTTTTATGTGTTGTATATATATATCCAAAAATAATGATTTAAGGGTTGACGTCTAATAGAATTATGCTTTGGATATTTTATTTATATTTTTTTTTTGTGGGGGGAAAAAGACGAGAGAGAGTGGCCTATCATGTGCCCTTGGTGGGTGATACAAAAGCACGCCACTAGCGCTCATGTGGAATTTGCAAGAATTATATATATATA